TTCTACAAAGAGAATAAAATATCTAGGAATACAACTAACAAGGAACGTAAGGACCTCTTCAAGGAGAACTACAAACCACTGCTCAAGGAAATAAGAGAAGACACAAACAGATGGAGAAACATTCCATGCTCATGGTTAGGAAGAATCAATATTGTGAAAATGGCCATAATGCCCAAAGTAATTTACAGATTCAACGCTATCCCCATCAAGCTACCAATGACCTTCTTCACAGAACTGGAAAAAACCACCTTAAACTTCATATGGAACCAAAAGACAGCCCGCATAGCCAAGTCAATTCTAAGCAAAAAGAACAAAGTGGGAGGCAACACACTACCAGATTTCAAACTATACTACAAGGCTACAGTAATCAAAACAGCATGGTACTGGTACCAAAATAGAGATATAGACCAGTGGAACAGAACAGAGGCCTCGGAGGCAACACCACACATGTACAACCATCTGATCTTTGACAAACCTGACAGAAACAAGCAATGGGGAAAGGATTCCCTGTTTAATAAATGGTATTGGGAAAACTGGCTAGCCATGCATAGAAAGCAGAAACCAGACGCCTTCCTGACACCTTACAGTAAAATTAACTCCAGATGGATTAAAGACTTAAATGTAAGACCTAACACCATAAAAACCCTAGAAGAAAACCTAGGCAAAGCCATTCAGGACATAGGCACAGGCAAGGACTTCATGACTAAAATACAAAAGCATTGGCAACAAAAGCCAAAATAGACAAATTGGATCTAATTAAAATCCAGACCTTCTGTACAGCAAAAGAAACAATCATTAGAGTGAATTGGCAACCAACAGAATGGGAAAAAATTTTTGCAATCTACTCAGCGGACAAAAGGCTAATATCCGGAATCTACAAAGAACTAAAGCAGATTTACAAGAAAAAAAAAAAAAAAAAACATTCAAAAGTGGACAAGGGATGTGAACACACACTTTTCAAAAGAAGACATTTATGAGGCCAACAAACATATGAAAAAATGCTCATCTTCATTGGTCATTAGAGAAATGCAAATCAAAACTACATTGAGATACCATCTCACACCAGTTAGAATGGTGATCATTAAAAAATCTGGAGACAACAGATGCTGGAGAGGATGTGGAGAAATAGGAACACTTTTACACTGTTAATCGGAGTGTAAATTAGTTCAACCACTGTGGAAGACAGTGTGGTGATTCCTCAAGGACCTAGAAATAGAAATTCCATTTGACCCAGGAATCCCATTACTGGGTATATATCCAAAGGATTATAAATCATTCTATTATAAAGACACATGCACACGTATGTTCATTGCGGCACTGTTCACAATAGCAAAGACCTGGAACCAACCCAAATGCCCATCTATGATAGACTGGACAAGAAAAATGTGGCACATATACCATGGAATGCTATGCAGCCATAAAAAACAATGAGTTTGTGTCCTTTGTAGGGACATGAATGAATCTGGAAACCATCATTCTCAGCGAACTGACACAAGAACAGAAAATCAAACACCACATGTTCTCACTCATAGGCAGGTGTTGAACAATAAGAACACATGGACACAGGGAGGGGACACCACACACTGAGGTCTGTTGGGGGGGAATACGGGAGGGACAGCGGGGGGATAGGGAGGTTGGGGAGGGACAACATGATGAGAGATGCCAGATATAGGTGATGTGGGGATGGAGGCAGCAAACCACATTGCCATGTATGTACCTATGCAACAATCCTGTATGTTCTGCACATGTACCCCAGAACCTAAAGTACAATAATACATGTGTATATATATTTATATATACATATATAAAATAATAATAATAATTTCTTCATCTTCCTAAGGACTCATCAAGCATGAATCATCTGGCTGATGACAAGAACTTTCTGTTTGCCCTGGAAGGTCTCTTTGACCCCCAATCTGCTGCCTACAGCCTCTCTAGCAAATTTCTCTCTTAGCACCCCTGCTCTTTCACAACCTTGATCCGGTTTCACTGAATTGCTCACCATGCCCCAAATATTCTGTGCTCTCACGTGCCCCTGTGCACAAACTGCAAGGATGATGTCAGATAACACGAGTGAAAGCACCTAGGTGCTTTAAGTAAATGCTTGTCGACTTTTACCTCAAGCTAGTTAAGCTAAGTAGTTCTACAATGTTAGCCTGCCACAAAACCAACTGGAAAACTTGTTATAGCACAGATTGTTGTCACTTACCCACCACAGTTTCTGATTCAATAGTTCTGAGATGGGCCTGAGAATGTGCATTTCTTTTTTTTTTTTTTAGAGACAGGGTCTCACTATGTTGCCCAGGCTGGAGTGCAGTGGCTGTTCACAGGCGTGATCCCACTACCGATCAGCAAGGGAGTTTTGACCTGCTCCATTTCCAACCTGGATGGGTTCACCCCTCCTTAGGCAACCTGGTGGTCCCCCACTCCCGGGAGGTCACCATATTGATGCCGAACTTAGTGCAAACACCTGATCGGCATAGTGCACTACAGCCCAGAACTCCTGGGCTCAAGCGATCCTACCACTTCAGCCTCCCCAGTAGTTGGGAATACAAGCACAGGCCACCGTGCCCGGCAAGAATGTGCATTTCTAACAAATTCCAAGGTGATGCTGATGCCATGGTTCTGGAAACCACACTTTGGGAATCAGTGAACTAGACAACCCATGTAGCTTCTAGTTCTAATGATCTCTGATTCCTCAATGCCTTTAATAGAGAGCAAATGAACAAAATGAACTTTTATCTCTATATAAATTAATATTTGACATTAACATGAAGGGAAATATGGACTAAGACCTCAGATGGACAGTGTACAGAAAAGAGCACATACTTTAGAATCAGAAGAGCTTGTTGAAATCCCACTTTATAGCAGTGTTGTTGACCTAAGGCAAGTTAATTAATCTCTGAGTTTCTTATTCTGCAAAATAGGATTGTATTAAAGTAGTACCTACCTCATAGTGTTAATTGTGAGATAATATATGGGAAATAATTTGTAAAAAGAAAAGTACTACATACAGACTGCATACTATATACAATAAGATATATACATGATGTATTAATGTACATTTAACACATAGAATAGAACAATAATACATGTTCTGGCTGGGCATGGTGGCTCACGCCTGTAATACCAGCACTATGGGAGACCAATACAAGTGGATCGCCTGAGGTCAGAAGTTCAAGACCAGCCTGGCCAACATAGTGAAACCCTGTCTCTACTAAAAATATAAAAATTAGCCAGGCATGGTGGCACATACCTATAATTATAGCTACTCGGGGGGCTGAGGCAGGAGAATCAATTGGACCCGAAAGGCAGAAGTTGCAGTGAGCCAAGATAGTGCCACTGCACTCCAGCTCAGAGTGAGACTCTGTCTCGAAAAAAATAAAATAATAATAAAAATTCATGTTTTGAATACTTTAAATCACAAATTTTCAAGATTTCCAATCCAGGTACTAATTCATTTTTGAAAACAATATGATTTATATGTTGCTATATCATCTAAAATATGTACATAATTAATTAGTACTATTGGTAGATAGTAATAATAGTAGTAGCTGTGGTAGCCAGCTTCCAAGATGGTCCCCAATATTTCCTCCCAATATTCACATTTTTGTGTAGTTTCCTCCCACACTGAATCAGTGACCAACAGAATGCTTTAAGGCTAAGGCTAACTCATAAGAGACATTGCCACTTCCTCTGGCCTTTTATGTCTCTAACTCTGGGAAAAGCCAGGTGCCATGCAAATAAAGACACTTAAGCAGCTCTGTGAAGACACTCTAAGAGGCCAAATGGAAAAGAAGTAAGGCCTCCTGCCAATAGCCATCACCAGACATGTGAGTGTGCAGCCTGAAGATCCTCTAGCCCCAGGCTGGGCATGGTGGCTCACGCCTGTAATCCTACCACTTTGGGAGGCTGATGTAGGTGGATCACGTGGTCAGGAGTTCAAGACCAGCCTGGCCAATATGGTGAAACTCTGTCTCTACTAAAAATACAAAAATTAGCCAGGCATGGTGGTGAGCACCTGTAGTCCCAGCTACTCAGGAGGCTGAGGCAGAAGAATCGCTTGAACCCTGGAGGCAGAGTTTGCAGTGAGCTAAGACCACACCACTGCACTCCAGCCTGGGGGACAGAGCAAGACTCTGTTAAAAAAAAAAAAAAAAAAAAAGATCCTCAGCCCCAGTCTATGTTTCAGATGATTGCAACCCAAGCCAGCATCTGGCTACACCTCATGAGAGGCCCCAAGCCACTCCCAAATGTTTGATCCATAGAAACGATGAGATAAGGAATTACTATTGTTGTTTAACACTACCAACTTATTTATTTTTTATTTGAGATGAAATCTCATTCCATTGTCCAGGCTGGAGTGCAGTGGCATGATCATGGCTCATTGCAGCCTTAATCTCCCGGACTCAAGCAATCCTTCCACTTCAGCCTCCCAAGTAACTGGGTCTACAGGTGCACATCACCATGCCCAGCTAATTTGTTTTATTTTTTGTAGAAATGAGGTCTCACATTTGTTATACAAGAATAGATAACCAATACCGTAGCTAACATTTATTGTGCATTTACTATGTTCTAGGAACTAAGCCAAGGATCTAATGACCCAACAGCCTTATGATGTAGATGCTATTACAATCCCCAAAAAAGAAAGGGTGGCCCAGAGAAGTTAAGCAATTCAGTCAAGTTCCATGGCTACTTAGTGGAAGAAGCAGAATTTGAACCCAAGTCTCTAACTCCAAATCCCAGTTTCTTAGTCACTCATATTAGACAAGCCAACATAAAACCTCTCGAAAAATTAAACAGCAGAAGCATCTGAACCCCTGAAAGAGAGCAAACTTGTATAAAACTAGCAGAAGGTGACCCAGGGGCCACACCTGAAAGAGCATTAACGCCTGATGCTATAAGGCCCAGAAGTTCCAAGCTGGCCCTACCTCCCAGCCCTTGTACTGACAGACCAGCCCCCTCTCAGGAAAATCCTCCCCAAGATTCCTGGGACTCACCCAGATCTGTAGTTTCACTCGCTTCTCATGACGGTAGACTGTCTTCACCTTGAAGTCAATGCCTACAGTGCTAACGAAGGCTGGGGTGAATGTGTCATCGGCGTAGCGGAAGAGGAAGGAGGTCTTGCCAACACTGCTGTTGCCAATGATAAGCAGCTTAAACATGTAGTCAAAATTCTGGTCAGAGGCATCTTTGAATCCAGTTTTACCATCCGTCACTGAAGCCATCTGCAAAAGAGACCTAGGGTCACTCAGGAACAGACCTCCAGAGTCATCTTGAGTCACCAACCTTCTAATGGTCACCCCACCATTCACACACTCACTCCTTATCCCAGCATCACTGAGGAAATCCACACTACTCAGAATCCCCCATCACTCACCTGCCCCAAATGTTGTCTCAGCACTGGGGTAGAACCCAGCTCCTCCCATTCATTCTTTCAGCAAATATTTACTGAGCACATTGATCTGGGGCAAGCCCTGTGCTGGGCATGGGGCTTATGAGTCAGACATGCTACCTGACCTCTGGGTGGACACAGACTAGAATAAAAGGTGGGTAAACACAGAGTAACAAAGCAGTAGATAAGTAATAAGACAGAGGAGTCCTGGTTGAGAAAGTCTATGGGAAGCATCCCACTCAGCCTGGAGGCCTGATGATCAAGGAGAAGCTCCTGGAGGAAGCAGCTCCTGGAGGAAGCAGCTCCTGGAGGAAGCAGCTCCTGAGCTATTTTGGAGAAAAAAAAAAAAAAAAAAAAGGCCAAGAACAGCAAACACATGCACATTCCAGTAAAGACCCAGTATAGGGCTATCACTCTCTTGCTTTAAAAACTTTTATGACTCAGGAGGCTGAGGTAGGAGGATCACTTGAGCCCAGGAGTTCAACACTGCAGGGAGCCATGATCATGCCACTGAATGCCAGCCTTGGCAGAAGAGCAACATCTCATCTCTAAAAAATTAAGTGAATAAAATAAAAAATAGAAACTTGTATGGCTTTCCACAGCTCTAAAGATCAAGCCCAAACTGTTCAACTTGACAAATAACCAACTAACCAAAGAGCCAACGCTCTAAGCTTAATCTTCCCATACCCCTTCTCTTCACCAACCTGTGCTTCCCCTAGATCCAACTAAACACTTTATGCCAAATAAGCCACATTATATCTTGCCTTTGTTCCTTTATATATGTATTCCTTCTGCCTAGACTTCTCTTTTCCTCCCAACAAACTCCTACTCATCCTCAGAAGCCAAGGTCAAGTGCCAGCTTCCCTGTGCATGGCAGAGGCAGGTATTCCTGCTCCTATGCTTCCAGAACACTGGAACGGCCCTTGTATCATTTCAGCACTGTTGGACTGAGCATCTGGGGCTTAATGGACTTCATTCCTATATGTCTGGCTTCCAGCATGAATCCTAGCATATAGCAAGCACTCAGTAAATGTGTGCTGAATTAATCACAGTCACTTCATCACTCTGAGTCTCAATCTCCTTATCTGGAAAATGTCGAGAAAAATTTCTGCCCTGATCTTTTCACAGAGCTATCACAGGATTCAAATGAGATAACAATGGATGAGGCTGGGCACAGTGGCTCACGCCTGTAATCCCAGCACTTTGAGAGGCCGAGGCACATGGATCATAAGATCAGGAATTCAAGACCAGCCTGGCCAAGATGTTAAAACCCCGTCTCTACTAAAATTACAAAAATTAGCTGGGTGAGGTGGCACACGCCTGTAATCCCAGCTACTCAGGAGGCTGAGGCAAGAGAATCACTTGAACCTGGGAGGCGGAGGTTGCAGTGAGCCGAGATCGCGCCATTGCACTCCAGCCTGAGGGACAGAGTGAGACTCTGTCTCAAAAAAAAAAAAAAAAAGAAAAGAAAAGAAAAAAAAGAGATAACAATGAATGAAACCATTATCAACTGGTAAATTCCACACAGGGATGAACAGATGTCCTTATTCCAAAGCCTTCAAAGCCTAGGTCCTTTATTTGTTTACTCATTCATTCATTCAGCAAATATTTAATACAGGCCAGGCCTTTCCTGAGACCCCAGCCTTTCAGTTCTGTCACCATCTTCTTTGCAAGAACACCTAAATCTGAACTCCAGAATTCAGCACTTGGTCACATGGTCTTATTTGCATCTTTAATTGCTTCTCCTATGTCTTGGAAGCCTCGGGTACCCTGCTTCTCCCCCTGAAATATCCCCTTGTGCTCAGCACAGGGTACTCCGATGGCTGGATGAGCAGTCAGAGGAAGGTGGTAGGACAGCATTCAAGTGTGATGGTGTCTGGGTTTTCAGTCTTTTTAGGAACTTCTGCTTTTCTCCCCAAGGGAAAAGAAAGATCATGAGACTAGATATGGTTCTTTGGGCCTCTCAGGTGAGCTGTAAGGATAAGGAGCTGATAAATGTAGGTTTAAAGCTCTCTTGAAGAAAAGTTAAATATGTAAGATCGTTAGCAGCCTTTTAATAAAAGTTTCTTGCATATGTCACCACTGGACTCCTGTGGTCTCTGTTCTTTCTTCCCTTTGCTCCCAGCTCTCAAGCCTTATCTGACACTTTCAGCTCCATCCCTGTATCATCTGTCCTATGACAAGACTCATTAGGCAAGTGTGGAACATGCCTAGGACAGTTGGAGACCGAGGCGTAGCACTTACATGAGCAAGAAAGTGAGGTTGGAAGGGAGGGTGCCATTGCCTGCTTAAACTGTCTCACAGTCTTAGCTTTTCAGCTTTTCATGGTACTAGGTGCAAAGCCTGTTGCAAGAACTTGCCATGCAAAGACATTATTCTTTTTTTTTTTTTTTTTTTGATACAAAGTCTCGCTCTTTCATCCAGGCTGGAGTGAAGGGTTGCAGTCTCGTGCCTCACTGCAACCTCTGCCCCCAGGTTCAAGCAATTCTCCTGTCTTAGCCTCCCAAGTAGCTGGGATTACAGGCATCCCGCCACCAAGCGTGGTTAATTTTTGTATTTTACTAGAGATGGGGTTTTGCCATGTTGGCGAGGCTGGTCTTTAACTCCTGACCTCAGGTGATCCACCTGCCTCAGCCTCCCAAAGTGCTAGGATTACAGGCATGAGCCACCACACCTGGCCACATTATGCTTTTTCTTTTTTTTTTTTTTTTTTT